AGAGCTGCTCGCGTCCGCGCCTCCAAGGCGGCGTTGCAAACTTGGTTTTCACTGGGTCCCCTCAGGCTAGACGCGTTGCGGGAGACCTGCTGTCAAAGTAATGGGGCCTTGTATGGATGGGACTGGAAAAAACTCTGAACCCTGCAGTCATCAGACTCCTCGGTGCGCTCTGCGCCCCACACCACGTGGTTACTGGAAGTGCGGCCGCCCGCACCCTTCATTTGGGGGCTGGCTGCAAAGAATGCGAGACCCGATTGCCGAGCAGACGCCGTCCTCACGCCGAAATAAAGCCAGCGCATAATTATCAGCCAACGCTGTGAAAGTGACCCCCAACGTAGGGCTTTGGCGAGCTGATTTGCTGCCACTCGTCAAAGCTCTCAGCGTCGAGGGCTTTCTTCCACACGTGTTAAGCAACTAGCAAAGTACTGACACAGAACAGGCACTTTAATTAAAAGGAGAGCCCCCTCCCACCCGGGCAGCCACCAAACTGTAAGTGATGTGTTTATTTTCCATTCCCCGAGGCAACCAGCCCATATTACGTTCCCACCTTCCTTCGTTTCCTGTACCAGTTTCATTATCGTGCCCAGTTTTATACATTCCGCTGAAATGCTTTAAATCCTTTCTGGCATAAGTCGAGAATATAAACGAATGGCTCAGCTGCCAAAAAATAACGTTCAGTAGTTCATAAAACAGGTTGACAGCTTTGGGAGTGCCATAATTTCTATTTAAAATACTCTTTCCAGGTCTATAGCAACCCATGCTTTATTTTTACTTTGATCGCTTTGAGCTGATGACAGGTCTATTAAACCAAACATTTCAAAACCAGACTTAGCAAAGGAGCAAGAAAGAAAAAATAGAAAACAAATTAAAATCAATAACATGAACCAAGAAACAAGAAACAACTTTTATGGCAGTATATTTTTACAGAGGTAGTTAGTGTTCCATACATACAAGACTGCCTTGGTTTATAACTTAACAGAAAAGTTTGTTAAAGCAAATTATTTTTGGCTTGAAACAGACCTTTTTAAGCTTTCAAAGTTTCAACCGCTTTCACAGCATGTGAGACCCAAGGGTTACCTTCACCTAACGTGTTATTTTTATAACTGGACTGACCACAGACATCAGGAAGTTCAAAGTTACACCCCCACGAGCAACTCAGCCTTTCACAGTAATACACGAAGATTAAAACTTTCCTGGTGAAACATTTACATTGTAATTTAATGGTTTTTACAAATCATAAAAAATATCAAAGGCAATTTGATTTGTGTTAAAGGGAAAATTATTTGTCACGTTACACTGGACTTGAAAGATATTTTCAAGTCAATTTCAATTCAGGAATTGTTCCTTTTGTGTATTCAGACGTGATTTTTGTTCATCTTGCTATTCTTTGGAAATGGTGCATAAAAGAAATGGGGATTACTCTGGAAAGATCTCTTAAGGCAGGGGTCCCCAAACCACAGACAGTACGGGCCGCAGGAGGTGAGCAGCAGCGAGCAGCGAGGCTTTGTGTTTGCAGCCGCTCCCCAGCGCCAGCATCACCGCCTCAGCTCTGCCTCAGACCCTGAGGCCTTAGATTCTCATAGGAGCACCGGTCCCTGGTGCCAAAAAGGTTAGGGACCACTGTCTTAAGGTAGGATGAATCTAGACTGTTCTCCTTTTTTAAAAAAAATAACTAATTACCTATAATTACAAGAACACAGATCCAGGTGTTTTTCTTCCATTCAAGTGCTTTATCACCAAATTACTCAAATTAACCTCAGTGTATTGCAAAGACGCCCCCTCGAAGTCTAGCCCGTTTTGAGAAGGGGACTAGTAAGATGAAGATCTGATCAAGACCTCCTAAAGCTTCACAATGTGTGTAAAGCCTTTAACTTCACGCAGCAAAGAAACCCGTTTTATTTCTCTGATTTATTTGGTGACGGCTAAGGTACAAAGAATTAGTGATACATGAAACTCACTTTGGAAATAAGGATTTTTTGTTGTTCTAGGAATAACATGAGCACATAATTTTCTCGTTCCTATAGTGAACTCTCCCACACCACCACGGTGGTGGCCAGGGCTACAAGGTCGCATTGGATTAATGTGACGAGATCACGGTGTTCAAAAACCATTGAAGTCCATCAGGTGTTAGACTTTGTGTTAGCACACACCTACCTAATGGAGTGAAACGCGTTCTTAGAATCTCTAAACGTAATGGAATTTATCGAGCATCTACTATTATATTTTAACCATCAGCATATTTTAAATACATGGACAGTCCAGTAGAGTGTTGATTTATGTGCTACAATTCTGACAGTGCGCTGCCACTTAGCGCTGTGTGGAATTTCCGAGCAAAAGATTTTCTCGTTAATTTTACCAAATGTGCCCTCTGCTTCCAGTTAGTTTTAAGAGTAAAATTAACTGCCATTTGAGATTACAAAGAAAGCACGCAACTCAATCTGGAATCCCATGTTTAAAAAAAAAAAAGACAGTCTAATCATCATTCATAAACCACTCAATATAAACTAACTGTATTTTTAGAGATGTCCTTTAAAAAAAACAATACCAGGTTTTTCTATTTGGGACTGTTAAAATCATCTGTGGCTCTCTCAAATGACAGATGATTAGCCTGTGCCCAAAGTCCCACCCTCGATATTTAAAGGGGGGGAAATTAAAACTCAGTATGTGCTCTGCTTAGTCCTCTTAAACTTAATTTTCTTTATCCACCTTTGAAGTGGACTAAAAGCCCAATATAACCTAAGAAATACCATTATAAATCAATGAATATTCAAAGCAAAATCAAATTTAAAATGTTTTCAAAACACATTTTCTTTAAAAAATTAACTTTTCACTACATATGTACAAGATTTAAGTTTAGGTAAAGGGGGAAAGTCTGTCTGACACGCAGCAGAATGGTAATTTTCCAAAAAGAATGACCCAAACCTCTAAAAATATTTACTATAAATATGTCCCAATAATTTAATTAATAATTCTAAAATTATTTGAGACTGTGAGCTGAGACAAAAATAAATATGCTCAATATTACCGAATGTAAACAAAACATTTTCTTTCTGAATCTTGGATAGCGTGTTAGGGCTGGGTGTTCTCCCCGAAGGTAACGCAAATCTGCGCCTACACAGATGTGTCGTGTTCTTTATTTTCAATTGTTTCATGACTGAGTAATGTCCCCGGTGTCAGTCGTCCTATGACAGTAAAAGAAATAGCACCGTTTTAACCAGTTTCATAAAACAGTCTAAATACCCATGAATAAATCGCACACGGACGAAACAAAAATGTAACAAAAATATTTAGTGAAAAGACACACTTAACTCCCATTTATGGATTTAAAAAATACAAATAAAATTTTATCAACTTGATATTCAGAGCTTGTAACTGGCTCGATACATAACCTTGATTTATTTCCTAAAATCGTACTGTAGCATCTATTGAAAAATTAAATGTAACTTTGTATCTTCATTAGCAATGTCAATAGAGATAAATATTAAAACAGTATGCTTGTCCCCGGGTCTCTTAAAAAAACTGAAAAGTCTTAGTGTAAGTTTAAAATTTTAATATTTATAAATTTGAAATGTTTTACACGTGCTGAATGGTGGCAGTGCTGACACGGTATGACAATTAAACCACAAACCCACTACGTGGAGCTTCTTCCTCTGCAGAGCGCCGGGTCACAGCACCAGCATCTGCGATCTGTGGACCGTCACGCGGCAGAGGACACCCCCGGGGCTCCCCTGAGCTCAGCGGCCCGCAGTCTCGGGCTAGGGGAGCACTGAGGCCTGAGAGTGTACACTGCTGGGGAGGCCTGGGGACAAGTGGGGGGCACACCCCAGAGCTGAGGACAGAGACGTGTGCGGCGTGAGCCTCGGGCCGAAGCACACGCCATGCTCCCACTCGCCACCGCGGCATCTCAGACCGGCGCAGTCTCGGCGACTTGGACCAGGCCAGAGGCCAGAAAGCAGGTCCCGGCATCCAGCCCCCTGGGGCAGACGGGCGCCCACTGCTAGCCATCCCCC